GTTGTAGTAGGTCTTCAGCGGACCGAATACCACTACGTCCAGAGGCTGAAGGCGGTGAAAAGTGTGCAGCGGAGGCGTGAGAAGCGTGTCCCCGTCGGCCCGAGCGAACTCATTGTCCGAAGTGAGCGGCGTGCTTGTCCAGGATGATGAGGACTCACTATGAGCGGCGTGGTTGTCCAGGATGATGAGGACTCACTATGAGCGGCGTGGTTGTCCAGGATGATGAAGACTCGTATCTCTGCTGAACACCGAGTGTGTCTTTGAAAGTGGGTGGGGTCCGAGGATATGTCCTGGTTTACCCATTTCCCCCTCGCTGCACATCCTGCAGTGCCGGTAGATGTGCCTCGAAGGATGTGTACTAACAGTTCAGTCTAGGACAGATGACGGGTGGTGGGACATAATTCCCAACGGCGTTGACTGCACAAACCAGCGTGTAAATCTCTCTCTTTCTGCAGTAGTAATGGTCTACCTTCCTCGATCCCTTTTTCGTCACGACCCTTTCGGTGTCTGACCGTGGTTTCCCTCGTCTCATTAACGTTGTAAATGTCCTCAGGCGAGAATGGGAGCCTTTCCAACACTCTTCTAAGTTATCAAAAAATGTTCCCACTCTGAACTTATTGGAAGTATTGGCACGAGCCAGACGCGGAGCTTCTGGTGTGCCGCTCCTGTAGTGAGGTAAGTTAAGCTATGATCGTCTTACCCACAGTCGTGCTGAAGCAAGTGTCCCCACTACATCACAAATGAAACAGCACGCCAGACGATTTACTTTCAAACTTAACCGCGCGAAATCTATGAAGACTTCAGGATCATACGTGGTCAAAATCACGTGGGTCTGTAAGCAAGCGATATTTTCGGCATTAAAGACAACAGAAAACTTTAAATTCTCGGAAATATTCACATATATGGATTAAAATAGGCTAACGCTCGGAACACACTCATCGTTCGCCCAGCACCGTTCACGTCAATACGGGAAAGGCAGAGCTTCCCAAACGTATACCAGGAGGCCGCTCGGAAACAATGGAATCTTGGGAGAGATACGGGTTGGATCAACTTACAAGCGTTCTCAAATTACCCAGCTCTGTCTACAGGAAGTTTGTAATCGTTGTCAACATCGCTCCACATTACGGAAAACTTGGAAATACGAGGATGATGTCACTCTTGGCTGGTAGGTTTGAGTAAGGCAAGGTAGGAGCGGTGTAGGCTGTCGCAGGTTGGTCGGGGATGTTTTGTAATATACGTAGGGCAAGACGGGTACAATGTCGATAAGAAGTTGTCATCACACCACTACACCAATCTCATATGGCCCGGTAGCAATACCCTAAAGCCGCATTGCCTCATTATATTGCCATATTATTATTACATTGCCATAACCCAAGGTGCATTGCCCGAGGCGCAGCCTAGTGGTGCCATTTCCCAGGTCATCTTGTGTAAGTGTGGTAGTCAAAGAGCAATGTTATTAAAACGTGCGTTCAGCTTGGGCAGATATTGGACATGATGGCGGACTGACCGACACCCCGTGCAGCTGACAAGACCCAGTTTACATATCAGCATAGGCCGCAGCGCGTGGATAAAGGTAGAGGCTTTCATTGAGAAGACTTACGCGTCCGTACCCAGCGATGGATTCAGAGGGGGGCGCGGGGTCATGACTTTCTTTGGGCCCCGGAGGGGCCCATAGCCTCTGAACGGGCCCATAGCCGGCTAAACAGACGGTTTTTTGCACAGGTCGCAACAAGCTTGAAGGTCTTTGGGCTTTCAGGCGGCCAGTAACAGTCGCAAGCGAAAGTAAAGAGCCCGCGAGCGGACAAAAATTATTTGCCACTGACTGAGAAGGGTGGCGATTGGGACGTTGTAATGTTCATTGCGCTGTCCAGAGACCCTGCGCTGTTTCCGTGGGCCCTTAATGTCCACTTGCAAAGTCGATCCGATCGTAAGCCTTCTACGTTGTCGCTGATTTCTTTGCGTTTGCTCGGAAGGCTTGCGCTGTTGCTGTAGCCCTTCCTGCTAGCGTGCCTTGGCACTCTCTGTCAATTAGGAGCTTTCCACGGATTATTTTTCATTTGCCCGAAGTACTCTATACGTTAGACATATACGCTATCTATACGCCGGGGTACCCATAAGTTGAAATGCTGGGTTACCCTCGGTTGCTGAGGAGCCCTACTTCGCTTTTGAATGATACGCGATATGCGTATACTGAGATCAAATCGTACGCGGCTGGTACAACACTAAGCCAAAGTACAAAAATGAGGGACACTACCTTTTGATAAGCATTGGTGGACATATTTGTATTGGTTTGGCTATCCTAATGTTAACTCGCATATAACAATCCCAAGATGAGCAGCCAGCACAAGGCGTCATGCACCCACTGACTACCCGCTGGTGGCGCAATTCCTAGGATTAAACCTTGTACAGTCCAATCCAGTCCGGTCCAACTGTCCACAATCCAATCGATCCTTTCAGTCTCCTATCTCAACGATTATGTAGCGATTACGAGTCCTCTTTTCTATTACCGAGTTAACCGGGAATCGGCCGATCCCAGTTAGAGTGTTGCCGATTCCAAGGAGAGAATTCGGGTTGTGGCGCGGACATGGCTGAACATCATCAATCATTCTCAGGGCTGAATAAGACCTGAAGACGCTGGATAATTATTTGGCCGAAACGCTGTGTAAGTACGAACATACCAGATGGGGCAATAGTCCTAACAGTTACTTCACCCATGATGCTTATGCTTCGTATGGAGGTAAAGAGGGCTGACATTTTTCGGAAATGGAGTTACGTAGACCACTCGATGCATGCCGAAGAACTGCATCTAGTAATGTTAAGCCAAAAATTTGAAAAAGCTGTGTTCAATATACATTCAAATATTTTTTGTTTATGGCATAGGCATGTTAAACTCACCAAAAACCTAACAATGTTTCTCTTGAACAATTTATCTGATGGCGTTTAAGCCTTTTTGCCTTCGGACGGCAAACTTGCCAAAGCAGCAAATAACTGTGAATTCATCGAATGCGTCGTTTTGAAACCAAGGCTGTAGAAACAACACTTGAAACTGTCCGGCGAGGGCAGACCCATACCCAGCAAACCCAGTGTGTTTTCAAGTAATGTTTACAGATGCACGCGCATACGCCCCAAGTGCACATCCGCCTGCTGAACTCATGAAAAGAGGACATACCATTGCACTGATACGTCATTTTTCTATTTGCATGTTTTTTTCCAATAGCGATGGGCTGTATTCGCTCGGCCATCCGTTGACGTCATGCACGTGGTGATAACAACGACGTCCGCCATCATCTCACTCTTCTCATGCTTCAGAAGGAGCATATTAAATGTTTAAAGCCAGTCGCAAACTCTATGTTAAAGTTTTGTGCGAGGATTCTAAAATTTATACCTATCATTTTTGCATTCCCTGCACGCACGAAATGCATGAACAAATAATAGAAATGACAAGATGCGCGGCCCAAAAAATTACTGCTCTCGTAGATTAGAGCTTTATGCAAAGGCCTATTTTGCAAAACACGAGCACGAAAAGATCTACCCATACCACATCGTCCGTAAATTGGCAAGAGCTGTATGGCGCTCTTAACTCTCTCGGGAGAGTTGACGTTTTTCTGCTGCTCGGATTATGCGAAGCGCGGCAGTAGTCATTTAGCTTTGAGCGTCTTAACTCTGGTGGTGGAAAAGTCCCCAATGAGGGAAGAGGTTGTTTACTAGACCAAAGCAATTACGTACCAAAGGCTTCCAATGTTGAAAAATGTCCAAGGCACAGTTTCAACTGTAAAATGCTAAATGATCGCGCTCTGCCCCGCAACGTGGACCTACACAGCACTGCTCTTAGGTAATGCACTTGTAAGCACGATTTATACGGGATATGCACGCGCATCAAATGATCTGGTGGCTTTTAGACACCACACCTGGCTTCCAGGAGTCAGAGAGACTATGACAGTCATTCTGACTTGAAAATGACAGAATGCCTGTGGCAGTCATTCGCCTTACAAGCAGTCAGACAACTTACAGTCTACGTAAAAAACTTTTTCAAGACTCAGGCAGCCTGGGTGACATTTTTGAAGGGCCATTGCGCCATTTTCTGGAGGGCAAAGATAAAAATATAGGCGAAGAACCAATGTAGTAATAACTAAGTGTTGCTCAAAGAATCTTTTGATATCAAGATGCCGTTTTAGGCTTTACGTCATGCGTTGTGAAAGGAACGTCTCTAAAATCACAACTTATTTTGACCGTGAAAAAACTTATTTTCAGTTGGTCCACTTACCGAGCCAGTCGATTAGGTCGATCCTGTGTAGCTGGCGAAGAAGCTGCCAAACGTTAGTTTGCAGGTCTTTAACAGATGGCGGCACTGGTCTAGCACTCTCCAGAAGCTTTGTCTCAAGGCTGTCGAGTCTGAAAATGTCAGAATTCACGTCCTAACTGAAAATGAAACGTCATGCCAGACAGCCGACGACAACCCCATCTGTCACGCGAGATTTTTGTCTCACGTGACACAGTACATGAGATTTAGTTCTCACGTGACACAGCATATGAGATGCAGGTCTTCACGTAACACAGCACATGACATCTGACCGCAGCACGGTCACACCACCTCGACGCTCACCCGCATCTGGTAGGAACTAGTCCCAAGGAACATTTTTGTTAGTCGTTCTAAAGATAAGTGTACATTTATGAGAATATGATTTATATATATATATGCATATATTACATGATATATATATATATATATATATATATATATATATATGTGTGTGTGTATTGTGTGTGTGTGTGTGTGTGTGTGTGTGTTTTGTGTGTGTGTGTGTGTGTGTGTGTGTGTGTGTGTGTGTGTGTGTGTGTGTGCGTGTGTATATGAAAAGTATATATGACGCACGCATACGGCGCGGGGCCTCTGTTCCGACAGAATCACTCAGGTTACAAGGAGAAGTTGTCCAGCAGATAACTTTGATGGCAGTTGAGTTTATTTGTGTGTGACTGCGCTTCCACAAAATCGATTTCCACTTGCAGCACACAGTATTTGTTCCGAAGCTCGCTTCAAGTAGTAGCGTGTGATTCTGAGGAGACTCTGATTCGGACTCACGTATGCCTAGCTGAATTCCGAAACCAATTTCGATGGAGTATTTCGCTCTCGTGAGAGTGGATAAACATATAGCCTGCATTATGGGAAGCTTGAGTCTGAGTATCACGAATGAAATGATTCATTGGAGTGCCGTCCTCGCCTGGTGTGTAAGTATGTACATAACGTTTCCGCCAGTAACCTGCAATAACACCCGACGACGGTTGGAGGGTTGGGTGGCCGAAACGTGGTGTATAAACCAATGCGCTGCTGGACCGAACAATTATTCCATCCATGATAATGCGCGTTATATGAAGCGCCTATGTCCAGGACAGTAGATGGCACTTACAGCAGCATACGATATATGTCTATATACCAAATGTAGAAAGCGTTCAGTATTCCCTTGCTGTTAAGCTGCTCATGTAAGCTGCTCATTGCGGCCTCACATAAGCTGCTCACTGCGGCCCACATAAACTTACATTAGGAATGGCGATTGCTGCTAACATTGATTTGTATTGATCCATCGACGATTCCAGCGAGGAAAATTGGCTCAACCCAGGCTGTGTCATATTCGGGTCTGGCAAGTGGCATGGATTTTATCGGGACACAACCAATGTTTGATTAATTTCGGAGTTAATTCCAATCTCATCCCTAGCAAAGCATAAGTCTGTATTTCAGCATTTCCGAGGGAGATATAGCGGATGCCCGAATGAATCGCAGCAGCGAGGTAGCCCTGGCCGCGCGTCCTGTTTATCAGGGTCACAAGAGGTTGCGGTGTTGACTGATGAGAATACAGTTGTTGAAAAAAATGCAACGTTATGTTAATATTTCCCCGTCATTGCAAATCATTGTGTCAACATCTCCAGACACCTGAGGCCATGCCTCGCAGAAACTAGCCGTTTTGGCTTTACGAGACATGTAACTGCTCCAGTCGGCCCCAAAGGTCGTAATTTCTCGCTTCAGCCGCAGAAGGGCACGCCAGGGAAGGGTGAAACAAGACAGCACCATATATCTCGAATCCCCGATTGGTTGCGTCAGCTTTTCAACGCCCAGATGTTCTAAGATTACAATGCACTGATACACTTCCGTACTATAAAGTAAATCCGTGTGCAAAGTTCATCTGGCTGTTAGGAGATTGTGTTACAGCACATGAGCAGTCGGAGAGCAAATCAAGTCGTGTCATCTGCTCCTGTAAACATTGCTCTATGACACGAACCAAATCGTGTGGGTGATCATTGGTGTAAGTGATTTGGTGGGAGGACCACGTGCTCGCCCAGCCATTTTACTCCCAAAGGTGTGCTTCTCCACGAATTTACCCTACTTTAAAAAGCCGTTCCATTTAAGTAAAGGTTTTTAACTGAGACATTGATTTCCATGACTGTTCCTTGCAGTTCACAGCCATGCTTTTTTAAGACCAAAAACCCTCTCGTTTCTTGTTCGCTTGATGTTCCTCTCGCTTGATGTTCGCATTCTCAGGCAGTTTATTACACGTCGCCCATTTGGAAGTTACCCAGATCTGCAAGATGTCAGAGATATCACCCAAATATCCTGCCCAATTGCTGTAGTGTGCTCATGGTCATGAAAAAGCATGGCCACTTGAACATTTAAATTTCACGGCAATGCAACGCAAAGAATCGCATTGACAGAAGGGTTTTGGTTAACAACCAATTTACTCAGCTAATTACATATCTCAATCGCTATTTTACGTTGTTTGGATTGTTCGGATTAGAGCCCTTGACGTCAGTAATGACCACTTCAGGGCTATAGGAGGAATGAGAGTGGATCTGCACGCACGTGGAGGTCTAGCCACCGAGCATAAGCCCGCACAGGGAGCCTATGCAGGCCATGCGCTGGGCGCTCGAGCGGGGTCCCTTTCAAATGGAGCAGGCACAAGCCCACATAGCGGATGCATGTATCCTGCCTGGACAAACGGGTTGTTGCAAGGACTCGGGATGAAGCAAGAATAAGGAAAACGGGGCGAATCTCTCAATTGCCGTTAGCGTTTTGCCATTAATAATATCGGTTTTTGGCAACTGCTAGATGCGACGGACATGACACCGATATTTCAACAACTTAAGAATAACGTCCTAAACGAAAACGCAAATTCCAGTAAGGAACTTGCCATCACGGTAAAATATTCAAGACAAAAGACAAAAGCATGCGCAACGAACGTCGGTAGATATAATTTACGCACATAAACCAACAACGCCACCTTGTGGCGCGTAGAAGTACCATAAATGAGGGACGCCATCCGCTACGGCGTTAAGTCTGACGCGGCAGCCTCGGAAGCGACCCTGGCGTCATGAAAATGTTCAGTGGTGTAATCGCGCGATAACGTATTAAAGCGCATACTTGTTGCTTGGTGACACTTTGTGATTTAGAGCAGTTTTGTACTTACGAACACATCAATATTTACAAGAGAGCTTTTTCCATGATATCGGATGCTCGCCTCAATACCTTTCAATGTGAAACAGGCTCTGCAATCTGACAAACGGTGATTTTTATTTCTAACGATCAAATAGCTCTTTATTCAAAGGGTAGCGATCATTAGTGGTCATTTAGTAGTTATAGCCACTCATTAAGTAAGCATAGTAGTCAGTGGCCAGCGAATGATAACCAAAGAAGGTATGTGTGGCATGTATGGGCATAAGATATGTAATAGGTATGTATGTATAAGGTACACACATAAGGTATGTGTGACATGTATTTTTTTGTAAAATTTTCTTAACAGCCCAGCCAACAATTTGGGGCCCGAAACCAACTTTGACGGGGAATCAACCTAGCGGGAGAAGGATCCTTAAAATAGAATAGAAATCGGCACTCCTGCATATGCATAAATGCATTTATATGTGTGCAACTTCCGTTATATGCAAAGACAAATGTACATTTAATCGGTTTCTTGCGCGTTCGCCCGATTGTTCGAATGAGATCCCCCCTTGCTTTGGGTAACTCATAGATCAGTTTACGTATAGTTCACCTATAGTCCACCTATATTAGTTTCTGCTAACTAACGTTTCAAGGCCATTCGTTCCGATCCTCACAGCAATGTGCAAAAGGCATTCAAACACACATACATCACATTTCCGACCATTCTGACACCATGACAAATTCAAGGCACCGAACCATCCTGCTATGAATGGGTGACTGAATAGCTCCAAAGTGATGCACGACCTAAGCTGTTCGTTTAAACCAGGCATTCTTTCTCTGGCGGGGATAGCTCCGAGAACTTGCAAACGGCGTTTGTTTTGACATCATTATGATTATGAGTTTTGCTCACATGCAGGTCTGGCGCCCCCTTCTTCAGGATCATTGTCACGCATCGTGATAGACATGCCGTGGTCATTCTAATGTAGGTCCAGCCGGGGAGCCAGCAGTCTCAGGATGAACATTTACATTCGTTCACTGTATTGATGCGCTATAGTTGGTTTTTGGTTGTTTAGTTGGTTCAGTTGGTTTTAGTCGGTCTAAGGTGGGACATTTAAATTCGTTCACTGTATTGATGCGCTTTAGCTGGTTTTCGTCTCCGGTTAGGTTGCTTTTCATCGCAAGGTGGCTAGTTGTCCTCCCTTTTAATAGATGGTAAGGTATTGCAGTGTCTTCATCGGCTGGTATGATATTTTACCTGGCGGCGTTCTGCCAACCCTTTTCGTCCACTTTACATGACAGGGACATTTGACTTCGATGAAAAGTTGATGGGCCGGTTTCTTGTCTAGTGGTCATCACTATCACAGCATCTCTATCAAGACACATGATAACACATTTGCAGAAGGCAGCGTCAGACCAGCATATGCGCAAAATTCACAATAAAAATATCCTACGCTCTGACCCAACTGAAAACAGATTATAAAATGAAGTCCAAACGAATGCCGCTCATAAGTTCTCGAAGCCATCCTCATCAGAGAAAGAATGCCTGGTTTAAGCAAACAGCTTAGGTAATGCATCACTTTGGACCTGTTCAGTCACCCAATTGCAGCAGGATGATTCGACGCCGTGATTTGGTCATGGTGTGGAAATGGTTAGGAAAGTGATGCACGCGTGTTAAGTGTGTTCTGCAATTTGACCTGATATTAGGATGCATAATCTGTTAACTGGTGGTTTTTCTTTGATTATATGTCGTAGAGCATGCGTCGTATTTCGCTATATTGGAATGCTTCCGTCCAACTGTTTTACATTTCTTTGAGAATGGGGAACAAATGTCCTTGAAACGTTAGCTAGCTGAAACTGATGTAAATGACTATAGGCGAACTGATTTATGTCTTACCGAAAACAACGAAGGATTTAATTCGAACGATCGAGTAACCACGCAAGAAACTGATGTACATTTGCCTTTGCATATCACAAAACTTGCAGTGACGAAAGCAGACTTCCTAAGTGCACGAGTATATATTTATGTATATATATATATATATATATATATGCACACATTTTTGCGAAGAATGCATAGATGCAAATATCGTTAAGTCTTATAACAACTGGTATGGCTGGCAACTTGAACCGATATCATGTCAACAAACAACGACATAGGAGAACAATTCGGGTTTCAGAAGAAAAGCATGCCGAGAGAACATCACAATCCCATTTTGGCAAGTGACATATTACACTTGCCTTTCTTTAAGAAGCCGCAAATCCTCTTCCTTCGATAGAATGTTTCTCCCTGAAAGCAGAGAGATAGGTCAAGCATTACTACATCATCTTCGTGAATCTGAATAAGATTTACAAGCGCCATGTTTTCATCCGACGTGAGGTGCAAGGTTATATTGGGATGTTGCCAGTTTTACTTCTATGCATAGATCTATAACACCACTAGACGGGCAGCAACCATGTTAAGTACTGGTAGATGTGTGCGATCGAAAGATGAATAGCAGCTACAGAATAGCAAAGGCTCGCAGGCAAACTAGCAAACTGAAGTAAACCGGGCGAGTTACGGGAAACCTAAACTGACGCTTTTCTTTCGTGAAATGCACGAGTTAAACAGCCGTGATCAACGCTCATAGAAAACATAGTAATAATTTGTCATCCATTCCGCGGATAAAAAAACAAAAAGAATAGAGATAAAGATGCACCGATATTTCGCCAACATGCATTTATCGAAATGAATAGCACAAGTAAGTTCGAATTTACTTGTGCTATTCAGTTCGATAAAGGCATGCCGCCAAAATATCAAGGCATATTTATTTCAGTTCTCCTGGTTTTTTTTCTACGAGGAATAAGGCTGTTGTGCAATAATAAATAAAGCTATGCGCAAAATGTTCTTCGTAAATGCACTTCACAACTTACGAAATCGACGCTTCATTTACTTGCGTCCGAGATGTTATCGTTAAGGCATACGCCGGACACTCATACGTGTGGCTTTAGTTAAATGTAAAGACAATGCCTTTCTGTGCTCCGAGCACGAACTGGGCATAGCCGTTTCCATCTAGTGGTATCATATATGTATGCTAGCATACACATATCATATTCACAACTTGATTCCAAGGCTGAATTTTGGAAACGTTAAAGGAATTTATTGTACAAAAATACTTCATTCAATCAGTGGAATTCAGACTGCGCCATCAGGTCACTAAACAGCTGTGACCTAAAATGGAATGATAGTTCAAGTAGGAGAGTGGCACTATCTGATAACTATGACAAAAACGTGTTACAACAATTCAAAAGCATTCAGAAAAGTTTGTGAGGGCAACAAAGGCGGTTCTGCAGCAAGATCGATAAACATGCTACTTTAACCATTGTTCAATGTAGTTACGAGGAATATTACACATACTGAGACGGTACAACTGACCTCAACCTCGTTAAATAACTAAAGGAGAAAGGACAGGTGTATTGACTTTTGGGGCACAGGTACTTATCAAAACAGCTATGAACAGTAGTTGAAAACTGCTGAAGGCTGTATGACAGGGGTAAAAACGTCTGGTGGTCCTCCCAACAGCGTCGTTCCAAGGATGTTTTCCACATCTACATGGGGTTTTGAACTGCAATAGCCCTCTCAAACATGTGCAGACGACTTTGTTCAAACTACTTCAACGTTACCCAGGCATGCGGGACGCCATGGAAGCGTCACGCGAATAACGGCACGTCAATGGCCATGTTTAAGAAAAATATGATTTTGGATTCATAGCTGGCGTGCGGCAGCAATATTTGCGGCATTAACGAATGTCAGTTGGCTTTCAACGAACGTAAAACGTAGAGTGCGTGTTTGGAACACGAATGACGTTTTGTGCTATATAATGTTGGAGTTTGAGCAGTGCTACGCGTTATGGCGGAAATAGGACTGAGAATCAAATAACTGAAGAAAAGCGCCATAACCGAGGATGTGACCCAGGAAGCAGGAATATAAAATCACGAACAGCTATACAAGAATACCACGAGAGAGGTCAAAAACACCAGCTTGTAACAAAATTCGGGTTCAGGAAACACTATCAGCTGTTGACAAACGAAGTACAAGTCCGCTCTCATGGTGGTTCTCAAACGGCCAGTTTGGCAGCGAAACTGGTGTCATATACACGTCCATGACGTAGTCAAACGATGACGTATGGAAGAAAATGCTCACCAAATAGTGGTTTTGTGTTCCGTAGAGCAGTCTTATACACTTAAAATTCATCCTATCTGGTGCTTTTAGCAAAATCTTCCTATTTAGAACATTACCATCAACTCTCAGACAAATATGGCGGATGGACTATGCTACATAGACTTCACATATTACACTTAATTTCGTGACCCAAGATTATATGAGTGCAATACCCGTGAAACCCCTACACACATACATGGCATACAGTTTCCTGGGCATTTAGGCCACGAGATGGAAGATTTCACCAGACTATTATGGTTTTTTAATCCAAGCCATGCGTATGCAGTTTTGATTTTCCAGTGATATGTTTGGTTTTCCAAAGCAAGCTCTCATCTATGCAAGGCAGTGTCGGTCTTAACAAGCCTCGATTTCCAAGTGTCTATGCAAGGCAAAAGCCGTCGTCCGACAGAACGTTAGGCGGCAGGTGAAAATGCCTAAGCCCGGCGTCAGATTTCTGGTCCGTAGTGCTTAATACTGCAGGTCTTATTCTTCTGGCCAAAGGTGCGAACTTTGTACTGATGCAGTCAGTCTATAGGCATTTTTACTTGAAAAAGTTGAAGGAGTTGAGCGTTTGGCATATGCTAAGATGAGGAAATAATGCATATCTAGATAGTGTCATGGCAGCATCGTTGTACCGCCTCCTTCCTAACTGCCAGCTCTCAGAAAGAAGTGGCACCACAAGTAAATCCAACAGACGACGCAGTCGTACCACCAAGACCGGCGAACGCACCGCCACGAGGCATAGGTGGGGCAGACGCAGATGATAGCGACGGCGGTCAGTCGCGTCGAGCTTACCTGCCGAACCTGTCGTTAATCTCTCCAGATACCGTTTAAGACTTTCCAGGACCTCCGTGCACTGACTTTAAAGTTTTTACGTTAAATCAGCCATCTCCAATATGCCAGATTATGGACGAAATCCAAATATAGAGATAGGCCTGCCACCTGTCCCGGACGTTGTCGATTTAACTCAACGACAGACATGCGTAGAAGTTGTAAAAAGGTAAACCAATCAAATGAAGCCTATAGGAAACTCCCTTTTATAGACGACGACCTGTGCAAACAAGCAAATGCCGCCGTACGCGTGGGCAGTATGCACGGCCTTAGGGTAGCGTGGATTGCTGGTCCTAGTGCTTTAGGCCCATGCTAGGGCGATTACCGCTAGAGAAGCCAATGTGTCCACCTTGGAGTAGGATTTGCTAAACATGTGTGAAAGGACCGCGGGACAGTTGCACGAGGAAGAGCGTAGCGTACAGGGTTCTTGCGACCTTTGTGCTGGGATATGTTATGTAGGAGAAACAAAATGGAATATTGATAACTGATATTGATTGACAAAATGGAATATATAATAATGTATCGGTTTAGTTAACACCACGAGAAGGCATGTTTACGGATAGCGTATACACCACTAGGAGAATGCATGGTGGATTGACACGTAACGACGAAGCAAGCACAACAGATATCAAATACGAAATAAGAATTAAAAGGGAAATTTCGGCAACACCTGGAAACAATGGAAATCTTAGGAAAAACCGACTTTAAACTGAAGATCTTAGAATCGCTGAACATTGGGAACGTCCATCCCAGGTAAACGTACACGCTTCATCGTGGGAGCTGACGTGAACAACATGTTCTTGGCTATGCACGTTCCCGAGGTCCAGGCAAAGTCTGTGGTGGCTGATGTGCGGTAGATAATGTTCTTCTATTATCATTAATGATATGTTCATTTCTAAATATCCTTTTGCGGCTTTAACGTTAGACGGTATGCGCGGTGATGGGAGCCTGGATGATTTTCCTTTTTGACCCCCCTTTTTGACTGTAGTGGCAGTATCTGCGCAGATCAAGGATATTTTCTGGTGTCATGAGTCTTAATTTGCAAGTGTTATATTTCGCTGAACCTTTCCGGACTCTTGCGGCTCTTGACAATGAGCACAGCCCGAAATATCGAGTGCCATCAATATAATCGTTAGTTAGGTTTATAACGTCATTTAACCAGTATCTCCTGATATACTGAAATATTGAAGATCGTTAACTCAAAATAAGAGCTTTCAACACATAATGTCAGCCAAACAGGGGTCGGAGGATTTTCTTTTCTATATCAAGTTCGTACGCTCATGTGGAACTCAGCCTGCCGAAATTGAAGGATGATGCACTATGCACCTCGAAAAAGTATGAAGTGGGGAAATTAAATGTCACTGGAATCGCATCAGCGGAAGTTCACCAGAGACCTCAGGAACAACGACGGTATAGACGTTAAACAGAGCGATAAGTGTAAGCACTTTGTAATCTTAGACAAGCCAACTCATGTGGATAAGACTCGGGCTACACATCGCGGCAGTGACAGCTATAAAAAGGCGAAGATGAACCCAGTCTCTCAGGTGGTAGCTAGAACAAAAAAAAAACACTGAAGAGCACAGTTGGTAGAAAATTTTGGACAAAAGCATCAAAGAGCTGACACCTAAACACGTTAGGACATCTGTTTTCTGTGGGTGGCCTGAGGATCATAAGCCTGCAGCCGCTGCCGATAAAGCTAAGGTAGACGACCATTTGCATCAGATTGATTCTTTTGGCCTGTCTTAAGTGAATGTCCGTGGCCTTTCAGAGCATTGTCTCCAGAATAATGTGGTCTCGTTCGGAGACGTCCACTATCGACAAAAACTGGGCATTACTATGGGAGACCTATCCGCACCTCCTTTGGCGATTATAGTTTTGGACTGTGTTGAAACGAGGACCCTGACCGCCCACCCATTCAAACCAGCTTTCTTAGATGTGTTGGTAATTATGCTGGAAAATGGACACACAGATAGCGTGCCATTAAAGCATATTTATGGTTGACGAATAACTAGCGTTCCAAACTGGCTTCCACGGCGGATCCCGCAGGAAAGGGAAAGGGTTTACCATATTCTGACACACCAGTGAAGTGTAGAAGGGAGGAACAATCCCACAACGGTTGAAAAGGACCTGCATAGCAAGCCCACGAAATATGGTATAATTTCGCACAATTAATCTGCGCATCTAGTCTCCACCAGCACAATGTAATTCGAAAAATGTTGCATGCGGTATTAAACAGCTCAAACAGCCCTACCTTAGTCCAAAGGTAGACAAAATGGTGAAGAAAATATGGTTTGCTGTTGGGCAACAGATACTCTCCCTGACTTTTAGGAAGATTTATGTAATAGGTCCAGACATGCTCGGTTGGATGACGGCTACTTAAAATTGCCTACATAGATGAACACTTTCATTGGATGATCAACTACATCGTTAAAAATGAAAACCGTACTTGCGCATAGCTTGAAAGGATGACAGTAAGCTAAACAGGTATCTGGCGCATCCTTTCCGAAATGTTGGTGCCTGGGGGCAATAGATGTCATTTGGGCAAGCCAAGATGTCATGTGGTTTCAACAGACTCAGGCTGAAACCCAGGTAGGTATGGACCCTACACCCATTTTAATATTCAAGTCATATGCAGAACAGAGACCATCCAGAAAGGAAAGTAAGTCGGTCCATTCTTGTGAGAAGTCGGCAACCAGATCTCAGTGTGCAGAGGTCATCGAGGCCGATTATGCGACTGTGATTAATGTCTTAATGCGTAATGCGTGTTAACTCAAAATTGTTTGCATGTTTGCGTGTTTACCTTACTTCGTTTTTAGTCATGCGTGACACCAGCCTACCGGAATTCGGTACGATGACGCCTTTTTTCGAGATTTTTAGCCTTAAATGGATTTTCACTGATTCGTGATAATGGCTGGAAATTACTCCCTGCACTACCCTTGAACGTTAGTGACCCGTGAAAATCGTGGCCCGCTGTCCAAAACAAATAAGAAAATCACGTGGGATCGGCGGCCAATTTTGAAGGCTTTGATAAAGGCTTGTAGCCGAAATACCAATGCATATCTCATTTTTTCTCTTAGCTATTTAACGAGGAGCAACGCCATAAGTGCTGTCTTAAGAAATGTTGGATGCATACCTAAACTCCATAGGTGGACGAATAAAACAAACGCATATTTCAAAAAGCTCCGTGACTCCCGTGGCGTCACAACGCGTCCCATAACGGCCTGCATCACCCCCATGCGCGCCTTTGTCTACATACTTTGCAGAAGAATTACCAACATCTTAAAGTGTTTCCTTCGGTCACCCTTTTGGAGGCACGAGTGACGCCGAGAACAGCAGTGCTGCCGCCTGCTGGCTGACAGCCGCACACTGTCCATAGCGGTACCCACCGCAAACGTGCGAGGCGGCCTTTGTGAGTCGGTAGAGCGTGCCTTCGGAGCGTGCTGATGAGCCGGTCAGGAACTTTGGCGTCACCAGCTGTCCTTCGGACGTCACCAGTTTCAGAATGTCGCCCGGGCCGCACCCAGCTAAGGTGCGCAGGAGGTCTGCCAAAGAACACCAACATATTATTCACGGTCACATAATGGCCAATCAGTCACAAAACCCACAGCGGCGCTATCAGCGCAACGAGAAACAGGGCACTAAGCGCCGAAGAGACGCAAGAAGTTCCCACATTGTTACACCAGTGTCATTAAAAGTGAGCACTGTTTAAATGTGCCATAATTTTCTTTTGAGGCGATTTTCCGCGGCTTACTAACGGGGAGGTAGCTATTAAGGGCTCAGCTGGCGGTCAGCCTCCGTGTCAGCCAGCCACCGGGTGCCTGCCCGTCCTCGCCCCCCCCCCCCCCCCGGGGGGGGGGGTGGCGAGGTCGGAAGAACGGGTGGCGGTCCTCGCCACCCGTTCATAGGTCCCTGCTCAGTCCTGGCGTGGCGCCCGAAACCCGGACTGTTGGCATGAGGGCGGCCTGGAACGGGGGCTTTTTCCAGGATACGGGCTTAGTTATTGAGTAAGACCTCGCTATGTGCCACTCGAATTCTCAGTACTCTAATGATGAAATTACCCGCATCGGTCGAAGAGCAGCTCATAAGCCCAAGTCAAGCGAAGATACGAGACGCACTGGGCGGTTGTGGGCCACCGGTCCCGCTTGTTGGCCTGTGCAGTATCTGGACAGTCCCGCGCACTGCGGACGCTCATGGCTACTGTGGTGGTGTCCAGTGGTCATGACAATCATTTTAGTGATTCAATGCCCTAAAGTTACAGATGTACAATGATACATACATCCGTGAGGTTATAGCGCCGTCTGCTTATGCAACAAGAGCATGAAATCGATCGTCCAGTTATTGGGATTCAAGGTGATACCTATCGCAGGACATCGGTTATGATTTGTACCCCATACACTCTCGACTGAATCCCTAATGCAGCAGTGCTGTAGCCGCTTTTCTGATTTTGAGGGGTTAACAATTCGCCGTGCGACTTCCGTCGTCCTTGCGCAGATATTTCAGCATTAATCCCGTGGGAGAAACCGCAATGTTTCGCTGGTCAGGGCTGCGCAGTGTCTGGTCAATTCGACACGAAAACACGGGGAAAAAAGAGGCATTAACTATCCGGTCCAAATCAACCTATGTCTTTCTATACTGCTCGGTTTCGACAGTCAACTGATGTCCTTAACATTCGGCCCAGGAGGTCCATGGACTTTCAAACAGCGTCTGGTCCGGGACGTTTATTAACTCCCGCACGCTGATGGTGGTGGTCGGCACCAATTTCAACCTGATGGGGTGTGCGGGGGTGGGGAGTCCTAGGTACGTACATATATCCCCCTTGGTACCCTGGAATTGGAAAGGATAAATGGAAGAAAGGTTATTCGATAGTCCACGCAAGTTAAGCAACAGGTCATGTCATTGCCTAAGGTTGGTATGAAGGTCATATCAGACCAAATAACGCTTCGGCCTGTTTAATCAGATTTTTCGCAAATAATGTTTCTTGAGCTTACCTTGTCGTGCCCGTACCCACGTAATGCTATAAGGACTGCGTCTACTTGATTCAGATCGACAAGAGGGCGTTTCACACAGATGAACAGAAGCCATCGAGATCATTTGGGGTTTTCTTTAAACGAGAAGCGTGTTTTACAGCTAGTTGTATTCTTTTTTTACTGGCAGCAGCCTTGGATAGCGTCAGAACCAATTTCAGCAAAACCTCATTTTGAGTCCCTACTTAGGTCTGTCACCTCTGTCGTGCTTTCTGAGGTCAAGATACTTGTGCCATATCTGGAAAAATGGGGTGCTGATGGAAGGATTGCAAGGATAGAAATTAACACAGATATCCATAACTCAGACCTCCTGATCATATAGCAACAATGCCGTCATAATCCCAACATGACATGTTTGATTCATCGCTACCACTCGGAGAATTGTAACCGGCATTGCAGACTGAAAGGGCAAATGGGACCGATCAATGCTGGCAATAATTCGCAATATTTCCAAATGCAGGCCGAAGGTCAGGTAACTTTAGTGACCTATGATGGTCTTCGAGACTTACATGCGACTAAAGCTTGCTGTTGGAGTAAAAATTAATAACATCGACACAACACGGTAGTAGACGGTTGTTACCATCTACCAGAGACCACATGAAGCCCATATTACCATAATTGCCGGAATACCTCCAGATTACTCATGTTCTGGTCCGACACACTCTAAGCAAAGCTGCTATACATGACTTACCTAAAAAGACTTGGACTTGACGACTTCATGTTCGTAGGATTGGTGTAATAAAAAACACGAAAAAAATCAAGAGGCAAGCGTAACCCATTCTTCAGCTGTTTCCCAAAAAGGCACGGTAGACTACCCACTGCCCCTCTACCGTTGGTGTGAAGGTTACCTTTCCACACGGTTTGGTCAAGGACGTATACTGGCCATCTATAGCGTCCAGTCCAGATTCACACCGGCGCTTTGCACATTTCGGCCCTGGATATCTGCCGATCTTCCTGACTACACGGCCCGGGACGTCAACCGATCCTTTTTAACGTCCGCCGTTCAGGATATCCGCCTAATATCCATACCGCCCGGAGCAGGACATCGTTTGGCATTCATACTACCGTTCCGAAGGTCCTCTGACCATACAGACATTTGGGGATGTACGGGACTTCCACAGAGCACCTATGACATTTTGTCCCTTGGTGTCACTGACCATCTATGCCGTGCGATCCAGGGCGTTTGCGTTCTTCCAAAGCCTCCGTGCTCTCCGGTCTCGAAAGCCCGCTGACTTTGCACACCGACCAATCGGAAGTCATCTGCTTGCCCCTATGCCTTCTGTTTCGGGGGTCCTGGACGTCCGCATGGCATGGTGCATGATAGCATTTATGGTGAGAATGGCTTCAGATATTAGACACAGTGCAACATTCACATGCCTAATAAACTATCCTATCCAGTATTCCACTCATTCCACACATCACCACGTTTGGAAAGTCCACTGACCTCGGGCACCGTCGGTGAGTCACTAGCCCTCGACGCCGTCCGGCCACGCACTGACCTTCTACGTCGTCTGTGTCGGCGTCGCCGGTCAGCAGCAACTCGTGTACGGCGCCGTCGAACTGCACGCGCAGTGTGCGCGCCGGTCGCAGGTCGGCGTCACCGCTCGCTCCGCGCCCCTGGCCGCTTTGCTCCGCCATGCGCCGACCGCACGTCCAGCTGATTGCACAGAACACAACAGCGGTGGCGGCGGTGTAGCCGTTGCCTTGATGATTATGGTGCTGGGACTTAAACATGCGCCCGGGGGCCGGTTGGATACCTTTCGCTCCGGTGGGGATCAATTTGACCCCTCCCCTGAGATCTGAGGAACCAAGAGAGCTAGAGACATCAAATTGACAGATTGTGTTGACCTGTACGTAAACTCACTCAGTCAAAGTTTGAGGTTCCTAGGTCATGACCTCCGGTTCACATAAGGTCAGACATGGTCAAATTCCAGGTTGCTCTCCAAAGGGTCCCTATAACTTGACCTAGATAACTATTCTAAGGAAAAGGTATCATGCTCATCTAAGGTTAGTGACCTTGTTTGACCTTTTAAAGGTCATGATAACCAAAATCATACAAGACTGCTTTGAGTTTTGTATCTGGATAAGCTATAAATATAACCCTAGGCAGCATGTTCCTAGAAACAAAATCTTGACCTGAGTTATTCGACGTCAGTGACCTATTCTGGCCTTAAAATAGTCTATGGAAGGTGTATAAGGTGGTCCCTGTTATCAATACACCCGAAATTAACACCAGGAACTATCCCATACAGTAAGCGCAAGAGGGACAAACATGCTGGTTTTCACCTTGATCTTACCTTCATACCTGACCTTAGGTCAATGCAATTTGTTCATTCAATTGTTGTGTTGTCCAAGAAAGCATCTCAGAGATGTGTGGCTTCGTCTAACACTCACTTATTGGATCAGATTGAACAATTTCCTAGAACTTGCCTTTACTGAGACCATGGCCTGCCTTTGATCCGCCATAAGTCAGCGACCTTACAAGGTACATCTCAATTCGTGGTTCCCCACGATACGCTATTTACAGTTGTACAAAATTTGGCGCGGTTACGCCGCGTCGTTCAAAAACCTGCCTGAAAAACCTTCGAGGGTCAATTTGACTCCCATCCGAGCGCGTGTTAAGAAAATTTTTTACAACTGAAGATATTTACGCGAACATCAGTTATAGTAAAACAAGCCTGCATATAACTGTTGGTATCCTTTTTAAGTGGAAAGGCTGATCTTGAGAGCACAATGTCCGGTTAGGTTAATACGCTCCTCAATGCGTCAGGGTTCGATTGCATCAATGAATCTTGCATAACATTGATTGGGAGCCAACTGGCGGCCGTTTTGCCAGGAAATCGTGCTTACGAACGCCAGATATGAACGCCTCAACAATTTTGTTTTCTTTGCCGTCATCACTGCATGTATTATGAAATGGCAGAATTTCAGTGATGTTCTTGTGACGTCATGAATGCCAAGATGACTCTGAAATGCCCCCCCCCCAAAAAAAAAAAACCTTCCATATTTTAGCGAGCGTGAAGCCCAGAAACTATAGGGGCTTAGGTCTTAAGAACAGAATTGTAACAGCATCGAAATGTCTTCAAGATGGCTATTTCAGCTCAAGCCCTCAGACAAATGTGAAACACTTCCTGTAAGGGCTTGATGACGCCCAAGATCATTTGTCAACCTTTAACCGGGCCGTATATGCAGCGGAAAATCTGGTAGTCAATAGGGAAGAGAAGAGCTGGCCCGTGTAAATGGCATTCGAGTCGTCGCCGAGGGTTTCGCTCAAGTTCAAGATTCCCGTGGTTTGTCTAAAATGTCGCATGCGTGTTTCGACTAAATGGAGAAACAAAACAACGGATGGAAAGGTAAGTATGTATGCAATGTTTGGACAAATAAGGTAACATCAAATAATGTAAGTGGCGAGTTACAGCATGAACACACGGGTCGGTCGCCCCGCGCAAAGCAGAAAGCCATGCGTCGCATGTGTAAGCGCAACACGGAAACTGCGCAGAGACACTACCGTCGCCTCTGCGAGAGGGCGAGGTAAGCACGACTGCAACATCGCCAACTACGGCTTCACTCCCTTGAGCTTCCTGCCTGTCATCACGTTTCGCAGCTGCCGCCATCTGCATTGCAAAAAGGCAGTGGTGGCTGGGTAAAAATATTTTACCGGAGGAGGAACTCGATGCGCGAAGGTTACCTGAGCTGAGATAAGAATGTCTCACTCGCAGGGCGTGACGGGGACTGACGCAACTTGACAGCATATCGCATTCCTAGAGCTTTCCTGAGAAGAAACAATGGGGCCCCTGTGTCTTTGCCAACAGGCTTGCGTAAGAACAGCATTAGCGAAGCTTGAAGTGAACCAAGGAACGAAATGCGAGTAAAAGTGTTTTTCTGTCTGCTCCGTAAAATGTACGGGCACCACATTTTAACATGCTCTGAGAGTTAACACGCGCTCGGGTGGGAGGTCAATTCGACCCTCCAAAGGTATTTCCGGAATGATATCCGAACGGCGCGGCGTAGCCCAACTTAACTGTGCATAGCTGTAGACTGTTGAATGGCGGATCGTTAAGCATCAACAAATATAGGAAAACCTCATGAGGTTGCTGACCTACGGCAGGTAAAAATTAGGCTATAGATTTAGTGACGTCGATTTCTGGGGAGTCGTTCAATCTGGTGGAACACCGGAGTGTTAGACGAAGCCATATATCGCTGAGATTCTCTCTCAGGAAATACAGAAATCGATGGACAATTACATTGACAAAGGGTCATGTATAAAGATCAGCTCAAGGTCAAAACCAATCGTCTTTATTGACCTAGGGCTTGCCGTAGGAGGCAGTTTCTGGCGCTCATTTCAAATTTATTCACAACAGGAACCGCATTATACACTTTCAATGGACTTCTTAAAGGCCAGAATGGAATAATAGAAACTGACCTAGAATGACCCAGGTAAACACTTTGTTTTCAAAAATATGCTACCTGGCGCAATCTTTGACACTTATTCAAATGCAAAAATGAAAATCATCTTGTGTTATTTTCGCCACCATGGCCTTCGAAAGGTCAAACAAGGTCACTAGCTTTGAATGAGCACGTGACCTTTTGCTTAGGACAGGTATCTAGGTTCTGGGGCCCTTTGGAGACCAAGGTGGAGTTTGATCTTGTTTGACATTATTTGACCAAAAGGTCATAAACAAGCAACCTTAGACTTTTACTCAAGCGCGGTCACGTACAGGTCAATACACTCTATGAATTTAGTTCTCTAGTTCTCTTAGTGTCTGAGAACTCAAAGGGGTCAAATTGACCCACACCCGAGCAAAGGGCATCCAACTGGCCACCCGGGTGCGTGACGGAACACCTTTTTCGAAGCAATGTAAAATAGTCTTTGTCAGCAAGCCGGCTGTCCTTAATTATGCCCAAGAACTTGACCACCGGTTGCAGCTAGATTAGTTCCTCGCATAGTCGGGCCTATATATCTGACAGTGACGTCGTCGGTGACAAACGTGCACCGCAGCTGTTTTGCCAGCCATTAAACAGAAACCATTCACCGCGTCACATATTTCGAGACGACCATTGGCCAGCTGTCGCGCCATGCACCGTGTACTCGTTACACAAGACCACATAGTAAAAACGTTAACGAACAGAGAAAGACCGAGCGACGGCTGCAGCTCGTCGCCAATGTCGCTGACCGTGTCGGCAAACAACACCACGCCCATCACCCAGCTGTAGCAGTGTGGTACTTCACTGACCTGGAGAAACCCTTTTCAAGAATTGGTTCCCCACCCACGCGGACTTGAAACACGTCGGATAAGCAGTTTGGGAAAAGGTGCTCACATAAAACCTCGTATACCGTGTTTAACAATACTTGCGAGAATACCATGGTGCGGAGTGATAAGATGAGCAGTCTCAACATCACAGGAAACTGGGCCGAACGTGTTGATTTTTGTGAAAAGTGGCATTTATCATAGTAATGTTGTTTAAAATATGGTTTGCAATGCTACGCTACTTTCTTAAGTCACGCTGCTCATTTGGGAAGAAACCCTGTTGTTCTAAAACCAAATAAGTGGCCTATTCACCGTTCTTTCATTAGCTATTCCCCTGATAGGGGGTTGATGCGGTCCCCTCATAAGTTATTTTTTAAGGATACCTTTCTGGTATGTGGCACATTCACGACCACATTTTCAGTAGCATATGTAACATTTAGTGCACGTGCTTTGACACCAAATACGTGGCCCTAGCTCTCCTACCTCCAGAGCAGTGGCGGTTTTTGAGGAGCACCGCACGGTGATCTACGGCCAGCACAGGTGGCGGGCGGCAAGCGGCGATTGCATGGACCGCCCACGCTGGGTCGATATTGTTACCTTAACATAACCATGTATCACAAGTGTAAGCTTATGACAGATGCAAATGCACACCATTACATTCAGAACTGAACAAAATGTACACCTGCTTAGGTTCGCGTCGCAATGTCGCATGGTCCCTTACATATGAGTACGCAAAGATGAAAAAGTTAAATATCCGAGGCAATTTGACATCTGACCAGGCATCATGAGGTCAATTATGGACATACCAAAAAACGCCTCATTACCATTACTAATCGCGAGATATCCTTGAGACTAATTTACTTATGTTTTTCGCTAAGCGTCGTCTTTATTGCTTTGCAAACGGTGGCAAGGGTCGCATCAACCCACCTATCAGTCGGCGTTATTAAAAGACGCGAATCAGGGCTAGGGCTAACTTGCAGAGTGATGATGTGAGCGAAATGGACCGACAGTCAAGCGGATCTTAACCTGATTTACCCGGTTTTAAGACGGGAATAAGCACTGCCTCCCACCAGTCCACTGGGAATCGCCGTTCTCTCACAGTGACATAAAAATTTGTGAGTAGCACTTCCAGTGCCCATAATGGTAGGTGACGTAAAAGAGCGCCATCGGGGCACCCTCGCATACGTTACGCAGCGCGCTGATTGCTGACTTAAGTTCGCACATCGTAAAGGGCTTGTCATAGGACAGCTGCTCAGAGGCCGATAAATGAGCTCTGGACTCTTTACAGCGGGTTTTGTGACGCAAAAATGTGGATCCGTGTTCCCCGTCTGCTGCGCTCTGACACTGCACGATCGAACCCATTTGCTACGTCGGCTGGGTATGCAGCTT